ACTAAGAGGCAGAAGAAGGGTGAGTATGATGGTGGGGCAGGAGAAAGGTAAGAGGAAACAGAGAAAAGATCTAGGAAGGAAAGCCAGGAATACAGCTATACACATAGGTGTGGATATATGTAAATATATTAATTCATAAAAATAGACGTATTGATCTATGTGCATATATATATGGCAATACACAAAGTAGTGGACGGACTTTGGGACTCTGCTCAAGCACTGCCTGAATGCAAGAACACTTTGTTCTAATAACCTGGCATTGTGATGCTCACCCTCCCAGTATAATCACTTAAGACAAAATGGGTGAGTACATAAGCAAATGTGGTGAAGAAGGCAGATGGTGCCTGGCTATCAAAAGATATACCATCTGGGGTCTTAAAGGCCTGAGGTTAAACAAGTGGCCACCTAGCAGAGAAGCAAGAAGCCTACACGGAAGAAATACCAGTCTCTGAGATCATAAGGTGTCGAAGGGATCGGGTAACAGGCATTAGAAGACACAAAAAATAAACAAACAAACAAGAAACACCATATTGTTAAGAACGAGAGGGGTTGGAGTAGAGACCCAAAACCCATCTGTAGACAATGGGACATCCCCTCACAGAAGAATCACAAAAAAGGGATGAGTCAACCAGGGCACAGTATAGCACCGAGGAAACACAATATTCCTCTGGTTCCTTAAGGCTTCCTCACCCCCACTATCACAACCCCCATCCCACCTTTCATTGTGGGCTAGACCTGGGCATGTGCACAGGTACAGATAAGTGATAAGAGCTCATGACACATGGAATCCAGGAACAGGAATGGGCGTAGCGGTATGGGGGGGTGGGTAGGAGGAAGGAGGAAACTGATCAACATATTAACACAAACACACCCCACCCCCACACTCCAGCGGGGAGGAACAACAGACACTGTGGGCGAAGTGAGACAGCAGTCAGTGTAAGATATGAAAATAATAATTTATAATTTAATAAGGGGTCACAAAGGTGGGTGGGGGGAGGGAGGAGGAAGAGGTACTGATACCAAGGGCTTAAATAGAAAGTAAATGTTTAGAAAAGAATGATGGCAACATATCATATATACTCGAGTATAAGCTGACCCGAATATCAGCCGAAGCACCTTAATTTTACCACAAAAAACTGCATTAAAAATGTGCTAAAAACTCGGCTTATACACGAGTATATACAGTCTGTACAAATATGCTTGATACAATTGATATGTGGATTGTGTTAAGAGCTGTAAAAGACACCAATAAAATGATATTTTAATGAAAAAAAGAAATAAAAGCACTTCACACCTGCAAGAATACTTTCATCTTTTATCCAGATAAAAATGTGAAACAGTGTATCAAAGAATTTCACCTTAGCTTATAAATGCTATTTCTGACAGAACATCTGTGTTTAATGTCTAAATAAATGCTTTCTGAGTACATTG